GGGGTTATTTTTTCCAATGTGCATTACTTTACATTTATCCACATTAAATTTCATTTACCATTTTGTTGCCCAATCACTTAGTTTTGTGAGATCTTTTTGAAGTTCATCACAGTCTGCTTTGGTCTTAACTATCTTGAGCAGTTTAGTATCATCTGCAAACTTTGCCACCTCACTGTTTACCCCGTCTCCAGATCTTTTATGAATAAGTTGAATAGGATTGGTCCAAGGACTGACCCTTGGGGAACACCACTAGTTACCCTCTCCATTCTGAGAATTTACCATTAATTCCTACCCTTTGTTCCCAGTCTTTTAACTAGTTTCAATCCATGAAAGGACCTTCCCTTTTATCCCTTGACAACTTAATTTATGTAAGAGCCTTTGGTGAGGGACCTTGTCAAAGGCTTTCTGGAAATCTAAGTACACTATGTCCACTGGATCCCCCTTGTCCACATGTTTGTTGACCCCTTCAAAGAACTCTAATAGATTAGTAAGACACGATTTCCCTTTACAGAAACCATGTTGACTATTGCTCAACAGTTTATGTTTTTCTATGTGTCTGACAATTTTATTCTTAACTATTGTTTCGACTAATTTGCCCGATACCGACGTTAGACTTACTGGTCTGTAATTGCCGGGATCACCTCTAGAGCCCTTTTTAAATATTGGCGTTACATTAGCTAACTTCCAGTCATTGGGTACAGAAGCCGATTTAAAGGACAGGTTACAAACCTTAGTTAGTAGTTCCGCAACTTCACATTTGAGTTCTTTCAGAACTCTTGGGTGAATGCCATCTGGTCCCGGTGACTTGTTAATGTTAAGTTTATCAATTAATTCCAAAACCTCCTCTAGTGACACATCAATCTGTGACAGTTCCTCAGATTTGTCACCTACAAAAGCCAGCTCAGTTTTGGGAATCTCCCTAACATCCTCAGCTGTGAAGACTGAAGCAAAGAATCTATTTAGTTTCTCCGCAATGACTTTATCGTCTTTAAGCGTTCCTTTTGTATTTCGATCATCAAGGGGCCCCACTAGTTGTTTAGCAGGCTTCCTGCTTCTGATATACTTAAAAAAACTTTTTATTACCACCTTTGGAGTTTTTGGCTAGCCGTTCTTCCAAGTCCTCTTTGGCTTTTCTTATTACATTCTTGCACTTAATCTGGCAGCGTTTATGCTCCTTTCTATTTGCCTCACTAGGATTTGACTTCCACTTTTTAAAGGAAGTCTTTTTATCTCTCACGCCTTCTTTTACATGGTTGTTAAGCCACGGTGGCTCTTTTTTAGTTCTTTTACTGTGTTTCTTAATGTGGGGTATACATTGAAGTTGGGCAAGATGTGGGCATACCATCGATTTATATAAGGGCAATAATATATTCTCAGTCTTATTCTCTATCCCCTTTTTAATGATTCTTAACATCCTGTTTGCTTTTTTGACTGCCTCTGCACACTGTGTGGACATCTTCAGAGAACTATCCACGATGACTCCAAGATCTTTTTCCTGACTTGTTGTAGCTAAATTAGCCCCCATCATATTGTATGTATAGCTGGGGTTATTTTTTCCAATGTGCATTACTTTACATTTATCCACATTAAATTTCATTTACCATTTTGTTGCCCAATCACTAGTTTTGTGAGATCTTTTTTGAGAGCATAAACTCTAGCAAGTCAAATATGGAAGTATAATTAGGCAGGCCAAAAAATAATTTGATGAGCAAATAGCAAAAGACACAAAAACTAACAGCAAAAAAATGTGTAAGTACATCAGGAGCAGGTAGCCTGCCAAACAATCAGTGGGGACACTAGATGATCAAGATGCTGAAGGATCACTCAAGGAAGATAAGACCATTGCAGAGAAGCTGAATGAATTCTTGGCATCTGTCTTCACTGCAGAGGATGTGACTGAGATTTCCACATCCAGTCCATTCTTTTAGGTGACAGATCTGAGGAACCATTCTAGACTAAGGTGTCAGTAGAGGGTGTTTTGGAACATATTGATAAATTAAACAGTAATAAGTCATCAGGGCTAGATGGTATTAACCCAGAGTTCTGAAGGAACTCCAATAAGAAATCGCTGAACTACTGACAGTGGAATATAGCCTATTGTTTGAATCAGTCACTGTACCAGATGACTGGAGGTTAGCTAATGTAACGTTAAAATGTATTACTGGCACGCGGAACCTTAAATTAGAGTGAATAAATGAATACTCAGCACACCACTTCTGAAAGGTTGCCGACCCCTGCTCTATATCTTAGTTTCCCCATCTATAAAAGGAATGATAATGCTTCCCTATCTTGAAGAGGACTTGACTGAAAAGCTTTTTGGAATCCTTGGAAGATGCTATAGAAGGGGAACATATTACTGCGTTGTTATTGTTGTTATTATTAGATTGTCTCAACAGAACTCCAAACTTTTGGAGGCTCTCCCAGCCCTAGTGATTGGCATCACCACTGGTTCTAAGGAATGTTAGCCAAAGAGCTCCACAACACCTCAACACTCTTCAGGGCATTTGTGATGTTGAACTCCCACAATCCAAGCAACTCATTTTAGCTATATCATTTGTTTACTTGAAAGGACATTTTACAACACATTACATCAATATATTTTTATGCTGATGCCTGATTAATTCTCTTACATATTTCTTAATGACAGCTGCTTGCACGTGCCACTGAAGAATACTTTTAATGCTTAGCTGTTTGAACAGTCTAGTGTTCCCCTGTTCTTCCTGGAGTAGGTATAGGCTAAAACCCTTGTGTAAAAAATTCCTTAGCATTGTTACTAGTAAAACCTTTGCCTGTTAGCATTGAAAATATGTTAATCTGATGAACTTTCTACTCAGGGCGTTGTTTTTCTTTCTGTATCTCTCTGACTCTACAATGAAAATTGGCTATTATCATTATTATTATTACTTGTATTACCATAGTGACTAGGAGCCCTGGTCCTGGAGCAGGACCTGTTGTGCTAGGTGCTAGTGAGTTTCATTCTCTGATTCTCCTGCACTAGCTGAATGCTGCAACATTTGGGTTGCAAACACTGCAGAGGAATGTTTCTGTCTTGCTAAAGGGTTGTTTCCATTGAAATTTAAAAAAAAAGGATCAGAATGAGTGAAGTTGGCTCCGAGAGCTATCCATTACCTCTCCCTGCACCAGCAATGCCTGAAGTAAGGGAGGTTTTCAGTGGAAACACTGCCCTTCCACCAGAGAGTAGCAATTGAAGTTCCCTAGAAACCCCTGTGAAAGCTGTTGAATCAGAGCATTGTGCTGCATCATGTCTCTGCCCCCTACCTGGCTAGCACTACCCATTTCTTGAGCAGTGTTAGCCTTCCAGATCTCACAGCACAAAGCAGGTTGTGATCTGTCACCCCTCCTGCAGGACTGCCCACCTCAGGAGCTCTGGACTAGTTTATACAAGAGCAGGAAGTTAACATAAAGCTTGACAGTTTTCCTCTGACATGCCAAGGCAACTTTTCTGCAGATATCATCGTACTTTATACAGAGCTTATCTTTATTCAACCTAAACATGGGACCTAAGTAACTTGTCTTCTGTAAGACAAGAAGCTAAGTTGGTCCCAAGAGCTATAAGTGTTTCCATTTTCTCCATGGTATTTGCTAAGTAATTTCCCTTAGCAGGTAAAGCTTCTTGCTCTGTTGTGTGACAGATGTCTCTACTTTTAAACATTCAGACTGCATTTTCTGTTCTCTGTGCAGAGAAGAAGAGCTTCGGTATTTGAGTTTCATTGAAGATGTAACAGATGAAATTTTGAAGCTTGGATTATTTTCCAACAGGTTAGATATCTTTGTTTTAAGGTTTGTAGGGACTGTACGCAGAACAGATTGGATTCTGTAAGCCGTGTGGAGTGCAGTATCTCTGACCGTGGTGACATTTTTATAATAAGATTTTGGCATTTAACTTCCTATTAAATACACTTCTAAAAACATAACTTCCCTTTGCTCTCATTCTCTCTCCTTTCCTTTTACTTCTGTTGTAGATCTTGGCACATCTTCATAGTCTGCTCTCTTTCTTCCTCTCCTTCTCCATCTCTTGTCACTCTTCCCCTATCAGAGATACATAGATTTTAAGGCCATTGTAATAATCTAGGATGACCTCCTATATAACACAAAGCAAGGAACCTCACCCAGTAATTTCTGCATTAAGCCCATAATTTCTGTTTCAACTATAACGTATTTACTAGAAAGATCTCCAATCTTATAGACTTCAAATGATTGAGAGTCCACCATGTCCCTTGGAAAGTTGTTCCAATGGTTATTCTCCCTTACCGTTAAATTCTCTCTGTGCACTGAATTCTCTTCCTTCTGTCTCTCTTTTTCTCATCCCCAACAACCGGCCTGTCCTCTTTCTCTTTCCCTGTTTCCAGTCTCTCCTTTCTTTCCCTCACTCTCACTAATTCTTTTTTCTTTCTATTCTCAATCTGTTTCCTCATCCCCCCCACTCTTTCCTTCGTGCACATTCTCCACCCTTCTACTCCACTTCCTCCTTCCCCCCACTTCAAATCAAGTGGAGCAGAGGGGCACAGCCCGTATCAATCCTGGCACTGACAGAGGTGCCCTAGCACCATCTCCTTCCTGACTCTCTCCTCACAGTTTCTTCTCCCCAGTCTCTGAAGAAGGGACCAGAGGTTCTTTCTCTCTGCCTTCCCCACAGGCCATGATAGCGGGCCTTTAGGGCCTGAGGGATCTTCTCTCCCTTGCCATAGTGAGCTGCTGAAGCTGTGTTTTGTCTCTTCCCCCTCCCCTGGGACAGAGGGTCTGCTAGGAGTATAGGGCCTGGGACAATGGATCTGCTGGGAGTATAGGATTTTGCTTGTACCTCTGCACATCAGCAGCCACTATGAGGAGGGGTTATGGGATAGTGAATACTTCAGCCTGTGGCATCCGCTCACTCTATCTGAGCTGAGACTGGCTAAGACAGAGCAAGGGGTACATCAGTTAGTGTTCTCATTCAGCCCTATGACAAGGCCTGGCCCACTGAGTAAATGTCTGTTAGCATGTACAGGTCTGTCGCATCTTACGCGCATTTAACATGCGCGAATTCAGCTTTACGCGATCGGCAAAAACAAAAACACAAAAAAAGAGAAAAATAACAATTTAAATACTGTTACTGTAGTGCGGGCGATTCCGCCCGCCATTACACTCAATGTAATTTTGACTATACGTGGTTTTCGCTTTACGCGCTGACCACAGAACGTAACCCCAGCGTAAAATGCGACAGACCTGTAGACACAATGTTGGCCTCTTTGTGACAAAGTATAATGAGGGGAATCTGATTATTTTCCCTTAGTAAATGCATGAAGACTCTGGAGCTTGAATCCTTTACTCATCTAGACTTGTTTAGGACATTCTTTCTTTCTCTTCTCAAAATAATGATCTGCCTGAGCCTTACTTATTTATTTATTTTTAGGGTTTTGGAGAGATTGTTTGAGCGTCACATAGAGCAAAATAAACACCGTTTGGATGAGGTATGTTCTTTTGCCGAACAGAGTCTGTAATGTTCTCAGTCCATGTAAATGACTTCAGAGAGGTCTTTCCAAAGTGCACTTTTAAAAATGCTGCAAATGTAGCCATAACCCTCAGTAGAGATCCACCTTTTAAATGAGAGATTGTGTGGTGGTACTTCGTCAGCAGTGCAAGTGGGAAATGTGACCTTTCTAGATCACCCACATCATGCATACTTTCATGCACTGGGTAACAGTTATTTCAGAAACTTGATCATTGTTTTCTGCAAAGTAATTATAAGAATAATTAAGTTACTTGATTTTATGCATCCTGTATTTCCTCATAAATGTAACTAAATGGAACATGCTAATTTGAAAATAAATTCTTAATATATTCAGCTATTTGGACTATGAAATCTGTTACAGATCCTGTCTTAAGACTGCAGGCAGCTGTGGAGTGGGCCATAAGTGATTAAGAACCTTATTTCTTCCCTTAAATTCTAGAACAAAATGCGCCACCTACTGGATGTCCTCAAAGTCGACCTGGGCTGCAGCACAGAGAAATCTGAGAGAGTCAATGGCAGCATGGAAGTGATTGACCCATTTGATCTGGAAAGATTTGAGACCTTGGACCAGCTCCAATTTACCAGCAAAAATTGGAAACAAAATAAGACTACAAAAAGTGAGGAGTTCCTAAAAGCCATGGATTTATTATCAAAGGAGACAGACAAACTAAAACACCCCATACACAGTGAAACTTCAAAGCAGATTCATGACAAGGATATCTTTTCAAAAGATAGAACTGAAGTGGCGAGTGTTGGAACAGATCCTTACTCTTCAGTGCAATCTGAAGAAGCCCCAGATATTTCACACACATTTGAGCCAACACTGAACTCAACCACGTGTGACAGTGACTTTGAATCAAATAAGGAACTTGATGATCTTGAGGAAAACTTTGCAGAGGCCCTTCAAATTTCCTCTATGTAAAGTAGTAGACAAGAACTAGCTGCAGAACAAGACAGTAGACTGTTGCAGAGAGCTGACGTTTGTTAAATAAATGCTAGTGAATCATTCATTTTACCTTTAACTTTTCTCTTTGGACACTGCTATAGCCTCTCCAGCAGGAGTACAAGTATTATTAATCAGGCTTTAACTGATTCATGTACTAACATACACCTGTAGTGTGTCAAATGTCACTGGTTAAAAAGGACTTTATATATTTCAGCTAAGTGTCTAATTTGGAAATAACTGTTGAAAGTGCTAAAATTAGAGGTATATATTTTTAGGATTATTAGAGATGTAATAATAAGTTATATTATTTATTCTTTGTTTTTATAATAAATGAGTGCAATAACTGAAGCGTTTAAAGAACAGTTGTAATATAATAAGCTTTTGCCACCAAGAGCTAATATCACAGCTTACGCTGTTACTGAACATTTCAGTATCACTTTGCAGGAAGAATTCAGGATTGATCAGCATCAAAAACAAGACACAGAGTTTAGTGTCTGCAGGAAATGTGCAGAGTGAACATGGAGTCTCTTGCATCCACGTTGGAGGGGATTTCTGCATCTCTTGGCACTCCTAGTCCATTGTTCAAGGCTGTCCTAAATTCCCAAGAGGAGATGAACCCCTCTTCAAATCCAGTTACATAGTCTGAAACATGAGCATTTCTCTGTGCCAGTGACTGGCTGCTAGGGGGTGATCACTCCTCCTTTCACTCCCTTCTTTCCTGTATTCATCGCCAGATCTTTTCTACCCTGTCTTTACCTGCTGTAGAAAGCAGTGGGACTTCTCCCATAATAGCAACCCTCAGTCTTCACTTAACCTCCCGCCGTCTTGCTTGGCTAAGAAAGGATATCTTTCGGTAACTGCTGCAGTTGGCTGGCTTTGTTGGTACACTGTTTTAATCTGGATGTTCATGACTCAATTGATATTTTAGGAGGGTGGAGATTTTGCAACAGTTGTCAAACTGCACAACACTAAAATGTACAGCTCAGTTTCCTGCACTGAGGAAAGCCTTGATTTAAAGTGCTGCATATATTTTTGTTTTAATAAATTGACGAAAGTTGGGCTTTAATTCAAGATCAGGAGTGTTTGGCTAAAACATCAGGCATCATGTAGAAAATGTAGAAAGGGCAGGTTTTTATTTAAATATGTATTTCTACTAGTACACATGAAACGTACTGCACTGACAAACTGAGAGACTGAAGTTCTTTGTTTATCTATAGTACAGCTACAGCCTGAACAGTGGCTGAGCAAGCTTCATGCAGTAGCTGCACCGATGTGTCTCCACCAGTACCACCTGTTAAAGAGGGGTTAATGCCATAGGGAAGCACTGTGGGTTGCTCGACATTGTCCTGGTATCTTACACTATCTTACACTTCAGTATTTTTAAGTGTATAATTAGTTGGTTCAACATTTACCTAAATGGATTGGGCCTGAGAATACATATGGATAAGTCACAGCTTGCTACTTTTCCCCTTAAATTACTGACATTCATCTTCCTGATCCAGTTCATCCTGAAGTATCTGTGAGAAATAAGTAATTGTCTTTGCTGTAGTGGAACAGCACAACTGAAGAGGCTAAACAAAGGCTATGATTAATTATAAGAAACTTTAGGGACTGGAAAAGGGCACCTGTTCCAGTGTACCTGCTCTTTTCTTGGTTTTATCTCTTAATCTCCTTCTTCCAAAAACAAGGTTAGGTGGCTAGAGCTCATTTACACAACTCTACCTGTTTCCTTCCCTCCATTTTCTGATTGACTGTCTTTCCCAAACAATTTTGCAAAATAAGGAACTAGCTACAACTGCTAACTTCAGCTCCAATAGGTGCAGTTACTTGTGTGGTTGCAATTTTCAGAAATTAATGTAGCAAAGGCCACTTCATTGATAAGATTTATCAATAGTGCAAGCTTGTTTTTTGGTCTGTCTGTGTTCTTCTGTATTGCCTTAGTACCACAGTATCTGTTTTCTCTTGCACAATATTCAAGTTTTGCCAGAAGTAGTGTTAAACCAAAATATTATGGTGGGAATGAGACAGTCACAACCTCTACCATTACGATTGTAAATGCTGTGTCCTGACTTACACTCTGTACATTTCTAGTCAATAAGGGTCGGTGTCAGAGAAGAACGTGACCCTAATAGTGTTCATCTTTATTTCAAATTACACTTACAACTACTGCACCAGTGGCTGTTACTTAATTAGAACTGGAGACTTTGCTTACAGTCAAATATTATCACCTTGTCAACACTTTCCCTAATGATAAAAAATGTTTCTACTTATTAGTCCTGCATAAGACAGTAACTTATTTGGGTTCATGATAACCAGCATTAATAAATGACTCTGGTTCTCTACTGTTCTTGCACCATTTACACCTGTCCAGAATGGGGGTAAAGATAGCAGTTCACACCCACTTTGCCTAGATGCAAATGACCATACCGGGCAAGTGGGGAAACAGACCCTATATCTAGTAATTTATAGAGGTGCTGTTTCTTGTTGATGCTAGCACTGTAAAGGGGGCTGAAAGTAAGAGTAACTTATTCCTTTTGCACTGCTTGAAGCACTGTAGAGGCATCCTGATGTGAGGGAAAACTAGGCCCAATAACTCCAAATGTAGTTTACAATAAATATCTAACCCACACAATGGTAGTATGGCCCAGAGGTCAGAATTCAGATCTGGGCCTCAAGAGATTTTGTATTCCCAAATTTGCTGCTAGTTGGTTCTGTGGCTTTGGACAAGTCACAACCTTTCGGTGTCTCTGTTTCATAGAAATGTAGGGCTGGAAGGGACCTTGAGAAGTCCCCAAGTCCAGCCCCTTGCATTGAAGCAGGACCAGGTACCCCTAGACCAGTGATTCCCAAACTGTGGGGTGCCCCCCTCAGTTCAGGGGCGCACACAGTGGGGCCCAGGCCAGCCCCCAGGCCACCCAGCCCCACTCCACCCCCAGCCCAGTTCCATCCCCAACCACATCTCCACTCCGCCCCCTGTTCTGCCCCCAGCCCAGCTCCGGCCCCCATTTCCTCTCTGCCCCGAGGCCAGCTCCACCTCTAGCCCCAGCTCCTCCCCCATCCCCAGTTCTGTCCCCAGCTCCACCTGCAGCCCCAGCTCCTCTGCTGAGCCAACTGTGCTGTAATGGAGGGAGAGGCACAGACAGATTCCATTACTGTAAGGGGAGGCATGACGGGAAACGTTTGGGCATCACTGCCCTAAACCATCCTTGACAGGTATTTGTCCCGCCTCTTCTTAAAAACCTCCAGTGACAGGAATTCCACAACGTCCCTTCAAATCCTATTCCAGAGCTTAATTGCCCTTATAGTTAGAAGTTTTTTCTTAATATCTAACCTAAATCTCCCTTGTTGCAGACAATAGGTTCTGTGCTGAGAACTATTATTTAATGCTGTCTTTATAAATGCCAGAGTTTTTATCATTTGATTATAGTCTGACTCAGCGTAGAGCGTGTTTTAGACATTCAAGAAGGGACTGACACCATCCCCGGCAGCTCACAATCTAAGGAAGGGCACACAGGTAGATACCGCTTAGGGGGAAAGGAACAGCAGGTAGGGATTAAAAACAAATACACAAACAGTCAAATCTTTCAGTTTTCTTCTGTAGAACCCTCCTCCCCAAAATTGAAATCTGCTCTATCCAGCAACTATCAGTTTCCTTAACAGTGATAGTAATTACACATGAACAGGCAAATAGTAAAACAAACCACTGCAGCAGTTGTTGCAACAGGTCACATCACTACTAGCCAAGAGGTCCAATTTCAAACACCCACGCATAGGTCTTGGGCCAGCGGAAGCCAAACATGTCACTGGGTAATGTATCTCCGGAGTGGGTGGGAAAAGAGAAGAATACCAGTCATCGCTTACATGATGGCTACTAATGAATCTGCCAAGCAGCTCTGAGCTCATCTAAAACTGGACCTGCTCAATGAAAAACTGGGAAGGCCTCAGTGTCAGCCAGCCCTTGATCAGGAATTAGGATGGTTCACAGAGAGGAAGGAAACTAGAGCTAAAAATATTTTGGTTTACTGTAAACAAGGGTTTTTTTTATATGTAGAAAACTACCTTAGCTGCTGGACTCTGTCTTCAGTAGTGAAAACAAAGGGCCTGCTCGTGCAACCCTTACTCTCTCAAGTAGTCTCACTGTAACATACAACTAGGGACAGGAGCTGTGTCTGATGAGCCCATCAGCAATTTGCAGAAGCCAGTTATACTTACCACCATCATTTATGCAGGCACTTGAGCATCTAAATTCCTATGTAGATCTAGCCCTGAGTCTTTTGCAAACCAGCCTAACGCACTTCAGGCACCTAAATCCAAAATGTAGATCTTCAAAACCCCTGTTTTGCTGCTGCCTAACCATGTAGGTACCTAAATTCCCTCCATGCCTAAGTTTCCACTGATAAAATCCCCTAAGAACCTAAACATTTGCTGTTGGGCATGTGCCCTGCCACCAAAGTTCAGGGGCCTGGGTGCCTAGCCCATCCCTAAACCCTTGCAGGATCTTCAAATTAGGTATTCCCCACCTATCTCACTGGCGGGGCCCAATCCAATAGGCATGCTTAGGGGCCACCTAACAGATCAGGCCCCATACAAGACACTTTATAACTATTAGCCTGGTGCTTAGTGTTCTTATCCAGGATGTGGAGATACTGAGTCAAATCCTCCCTGTGCCAGATGTGGAGCAAGGCTCAGAACCCACAGCTCTGGAGACAGCTATGAGATAGCCTAGAGTGTGGCTCTGTTGCTCTCTCCCACTGAAGCCATTCTGCTTTGCTTAAATAAATAGCCAGTGGAAGGAGGACTTGAACAGGGGTCTCCTACAAACCAGGAGCACGCCCTAACCACCAGGCTATAGTCACACCCACCCTTACTTAGCTCTGCCTCCCCACATGACTATTTAAATCAGTGATATGAAGTAAAACAGCTTCAACAGGAGATAGCCTGGTGGTGAGGGCACCCTCCTCAGAGGCAGGTTGAAATCCTTGGTCCACATCAGGCAGAGGGAGGAATTGGAGCTGGGGCTCCCACATCCTGGGTGAGCAGGCTAACCACTGGCTAAAGTTATAAGGCAGAGGTTCTGCCTGTTTTTGGAAGAAAGGGTTGACCTGGCACTGTAACACCAGGAGAGAGTTCACAGCTGTGAATCCTGCATGGGGCTTGGCCCATAAGTCCCTTTGAGGGGCAGGACTTGGGACTCACCCCTTTCCTCAGCATTTCCTACTGGCTACTCACTGCTGAGTGAGCTGGCTTTTCTGGATCCCATTCCTAGGCATCTAACTCTCCTGAGTGCGTAACTTGGGCCTGGGGATTCCATTAGGTGGCCGGATGCCTGAACACAGCATTGCAACATTTACCATCTAAGTCCTTTTTGTGGAGCTAGCCCTCAGGCTATATAGCCCAAGCCATTCTCTTGCCCACTCCCAGACCAGAGTGGGATGAGAATGCTAGAGGAGCAGAACACCCAGTCCCTATGGAATAGGCATGACTCGCATTTCCAAGCAGCAATCTTGCTTACTGTTTACAAAATCGTGCTCATAGCCTCCAGTGGAGTGAGTCTTATCCAGTCCTCAGCTGGAAGTATGGTGTGGGTGACATGAGCCCTTGAGAATGGTAAGTAAGGGCTAGAATAACTGAGTAGTGAGGTATCTGAGATAAACAAAACAAACCCCAGCTAGGCAACCCACTGAGCTATGCGAACTCATACTCTCAGAGGGCAGCATGAGACTGATCCATTACACATGATCCTGTGCAGAGTCATCCCAGGAATCCAACACCATAAAGAATGTTGGACTGTTCCAGTATCTGTGCGAGAGCTACTGCACATTGCAGAGCTAACAGGAGATAGAAGCAAGCTGGTTCCAGAAGATGAATCACACAGCACAAGATGACCCCCCCCCACAACTATACCATCCTATTCACATGCATATATATGAGAAATTAAGCTAGTTGTAGTAAGATATCAAGTCATCCTGTCACCATCAGAGCATATTTACAGAGCCAGCTAACTCTCCAGCAAGGATCAAGATTGGAAATAACATCTGGCACATACTTTACTGGCATTTTACAGGTACAAAAACATAGTTGATACAGATAGCAGAGGGCCATATGCTGGCTGTTTGGCTTCCCAGAGGCAGGGTGCACATGTCCCAGGTGCCAATTTCACACTGTAGCAAGGCTTACTCAGTCTGCCTTCAGGCCCTGCTGCTGCCTCAGTTTCCCCTTCTTCCCCAGGGCCTCACATTTACACTGCCAGTGTTTTTCTCACTAACTCTCCCTTTTGATGAATTGGTTTATTAATATCAAGTTTAGAACCCCACACCCTTTCATAGCCACCTCACACCATTGGTATAGTGTTCTTACTCCTCTTCCAGCCTAAGCTTTCATCTTATGTGGCTCCTACTCCCTGCAGGCCCCTCAGGCCTTCCGGAGTGTTCCTCAGCCTAGGCTTCCTCACTGGCCTTTTCCTGACTGTTCTCCCTCTGCTTAATGACATGTACTCCAGGAAGGCTCTCCCCAGCTCCTCTCAGGCTGCCCTCATACCCCCCATGTTCTTAGTCACATCCTCACCATCATGTGGCCCTTGTATTCATTCCCTCCATCTGGGGAGGAGGGCTAAGCCTGGCATAGGTGAGGCTGAGCCCCAATTCCCTTCAAGGGACAGCTCACCCTGTGACACACATCGACAGCAAAAAGCCAACTTCAGAACAAGCAAACCAGGCTTTTAATGATATATGAATGGGAAAACCCAACCCCAAAGCTGTCTGCTAATATAGATCAGTAATGGGCTTAATCTGTAGCAAGGCAATTTTAGATTAGATATTAGGAAAAACTTTCAAACTATAAGGATGGTTAAACTCTGGAATGGGCTTCCTGGGGGAGTTGTAGAATCCTCATCATTGGAGGTTTTTAAGAACAGGTTGGACAAACACCTATCAGGGATGGTCTGGGGTTATGTGGTCCTGTCTCAGTGCAGGGGGCTGGACTTGATGACTTCTTGAGGTCCCTTCCAGCCTTACATTTCTATCATTCCATGATCAGTAGAATCAGACTCAGTTATGGTTGAATGCTCACCAATGCCATTTAGCACATTTTCTCCAGTTTCTCTGCAGATTAGCAACACAAAATGTAAATTAATCTCACTGCTATTTACTTTTCATTATTTAAGTGCTAACAGTGTGCTGTGGGATAAGTAGGATAACCTCGTTCATGCAAATTGACTCATATGGAGCATTCATTTTCCAGCTTGATGGCACAAATACACTTGGCAGCACTCCTAACTCAGTGGTACTAGGGATGAATTTGTTTCAGACAGTGACCACACTCCAGCAGTACATAAATATTAGATAACCCACGTACTCACCATACTCTCTATTTTATGCAAATTGTTTCCTAACATGCTACAGTGCATCAGATCAGTACACCTGATACTTGCTGTATGGATTTGTATAACCGATGTGCTTGATTCTGATATGGAACAGCTCCTTCTATACTCTGAATCAAAAGCTACGATTGGGAAGAAGACAAACACTTCATTTACAA